GAAGAGAAGAGAGAGAGAGAGAGAGAGAGAGAGAGAGAGAGAGAGAGAGTGTGTGTGTATGCTTGTATGTTTGTTGTGTGCATGCGAGAAAGAAAGAAAGCGAAAGAAAAAAGAAAGCGAGAGATAGAGAAACAGAGAGGAAAAGAGAGAAGTCAATCCCCTCCCAATCGTGTTCGTAGGAACCTGCATATCTTGATTTCCCGACCACGAATACCGGTATCCGGGTGCCGATTTTGTTTTGCGCGCGGTAACTCGTCGACGACCCTCCGTCGAAGGCAAGATACGAGGAAGGAGGACGAAAGGGGGAGCACTTTTCCATGACGAGGAGGCCCGCCGCGCGTAATGACGCGAGCAATGCACACATTTGTGAGAAAGATTGCGTGCGAAGGCAACTTGTTCCGTCGTAATGTAAAATCCTAAAGCAATCCATAGATATACGATCGATCACGTTCATCAAATATAAATGAACGCTGAAATCTCAGACGAATTGTATTGTATCTTCATCGATCTACACTCGTTGGTGAGGATTTCTTTCTTTCTTTCTTTCCTTTCTTTTTTTTTCGTTTTGATCCGAAGATTTTTTTGTTTTTTTTAATCCTAATTACCCCCTGGCTTTCGTCGGTGTTCTTTGAACGAAATACAAATACTAGTCAAAGTCCTGTCATTCTAACACGGCAATTCGCGGCTTAGATGAATACCTTAACATCTCTGTAGAGCGAGCGCATTCCCCGACATGTCGATTCACTCCTGACATTTGTCGCGCGACATTTCTCCGTGACAAGCGATTTATTGAACGGCATGAATCTTTGAGGGCTCGCCGTCGTACCCGTTCGCACCCGATAAATCACGCGTCCGTGAGAAATGTCGCGAGATAAATGCCGGGTCGAATTTACGCGACAGATTCAATTACTCTGGAATACCGCAAATCGTCGCCGGTATGGTGTCCCTAACGCTTACACCCGTTACTCAATGGCGAATAATCGCCCGAATAACGCCGTCGTTATTCTGCACCGCCGTATAATACTATACTCAAACCAGAAATTCAAATGAAAGATATTCACTTCCGCATCATAATATTCGCGGCGCAGTCAGTGTCACGATCAATAGAAATTGATGGTCTTAATTAAGTTGCGTGCAATGATATTCAAACGATAGATTGCGGGAGGGAGCGTGATATTAATATCGCTATAACATATAAAATAATATCGGGCTCTTTCAAAACGCTTGTCCGACGCTCCAATGCTAATTCATATTCATCAGCATCAATTTGCTATATACAAAACATGGACGTGTATAGATTGTGCGCGATATGATGTGCAGGCGTGATCTATGTACGAACAGAGCGTTAATGCATCTATATTATAGAAGGCACTGTCATTAAAGCTTAATAGATTCAGCAAAGCGAAATTAATTTCGAAAATCACACGCGTTTACTGACGCACGATGTCTTTAATCTTGCTCGTCTCCTTTTATTTTATGCTCATGAGCAAAAGTGAAGTGACAACCGATAGAAGATCACAGAAGTAAAACTCCCGTTTCGAGAAAAATTCAATTCTTGTGCTTTTGTTTTCTTTGTATCTTTATCGCGCTAACAATGAACAGAATTACAATCCTATCTGAATATTCTCCAAGGTAAAATAAAATTTTAATTTTACACACTTTTCTCGAAACGGAATCTCTACTTACGTGGATCTTTTCTAAATTCACCTCAATTTATCATCGTAATTCTGCTATCTTAATTTTTTTCATTTCTTCTGCGGACTTAAATCGCGAACGTTTTTGATTAGCTTTCGTTGTTTATAACTAGTTTTTTTACTTCTTTAGTAGTACTTATTAAGTTATTAAATTCTTTCTTATTAAAATTTCAAGCAATACGGTTAATATGTAAACCGTACATACAAACAGCGGTCATGTATAGTAAGATTGTGAAGCCACATTATGCATCACACAGTGATCTTTCGACGTCGCTGTGTGTAATAGCGAGATGAGGGTACGTGTGATAAAATGTACACCTCGACTTTATTCTCGAGAAAATCGCGACACACCTGCTACGGAAGCATGATTCAACCGCGTCCAGCACTGGAGGGCCTCGCATCGCCGTCGGTGACTAAAAGGCCGGCCTCGAGTAGGACAAGCGCAAAATGCGTACTTACGTGTACCACGTCTAGCCATTTCAAATCTGATTTATTCGCGGCTTGCGTCTTGAGAGAGAGAGCCGGTGCACTCAGAGAAAGTGGGCGTGAGAGGGAAACAGCGCGCGAGAAGCCAATGAAACCACGAGAGAGAGGCAAAAAAGAGAAACGAAAACGGACGCGAGGCAAGCGGATAAGCAAAGATACGTTCGGGCATGAAATATATGTTTAACCGTTATTTATTATCATTAATGGTATATCACATATCGGAATTTGAGAAGCGTTATCGTTGTGATCGCCTCGCTGAAGAAAGTCGACGCGACTCTCATTTATCCGAGATATTAAACGTACGGAACCCAGTGAATCACGTCATTCGTCTTTTTCTCGATCGTTTCGAAAGCTTTCCTCTACAAAACAAAACTTGTTATACATTTCCAATACAGTATTAGATATCGTGAATTATAAATTTATATAACGTAGAATTAGAAAGAGGATAAGTCTCTACTATACTTCTTAATTACCCATTAATTTATAACGTAAGAGTTACTTGTTTATCGATATATATATATATATATATATCTCTCTTCAAAGAAAATTGGCTACAGATTCTCGAAAGAATAATCCGTGAACCAAAAAGTGGCGCAATCTATCATACACTTTCTATGATATTAATCTCTCTCGACAGCCTTCTCTCGGCATAAAGATAATGACCGGCGTTTTAGTATCGCTGAGAAAAGACATTTGTTAAGTCGACAGATCTCCTTTAAACATCCGCTGTTGTTTTATTTGACTCTTCAGCAAGCTCTCCCGCGCGCAAACACCGTCTGAGATTTGTACATATCAGCGTAAGGGCGCGAATACTCATTACTCACCCCTGCTTTCGCAAATTCGATTTATCGGTGACGCTCGGATATGTTCGGCCAACATTTTGATTTCTTTAAAATTGCGAGCGTTGAAGCGTTGCCGCTCAATAATATATCTCGTACAAGCGTTTCGTCCGCAAGATAAATCGGACCCGAACACATTCGTCCTGTGAGGATGACTATTAGGAATTCAAGGCGTGCGGATTTAAGTCGTCAACCGGCAGCCGTTTTGCTCGTTTTGCTTAAACTCGGCTTTCCTCCAGCGGGATGCGCTCGTCTAAAATTGGAATACGTACGGCATTTTCGCGCCGAGAGATACGGATACGCGCGTCCCGTTTCAATCGAAAGTGACGCTGTCCACGCATTTCGTTCCGTCGAGCGAGACAGGAGCGCGACAGGAGAGACCGAAACGGAGCGAGGTGTCTTCGTCTTTAAACGTCTCGTTTGACAAGCTAGAATAAACCTCCTCTAAACTCCCGTTATCTCAAAGTTTCGCACAAGGTAAGAAGGGAAAATTAAGGGATTCGAGTGTTGCATTGCGCGTCGCTCTTTTCGCGGCACGGCGGACCGCTCGATCGTATAAACGGCACAAACTCACCCCTTCCCTCCCCCCCTCCCTCCCCCCCGGGGGGGGGGGCTTCCCCTCCCTCTCTCGCGATTTCTGTTTTAATTTATTTATTCTTCGCTCGCCCGATCGCTCGCGCGTCGTACCGTACTCATATAGAAATATCAAATACGCGTTCGTTGAATGTAGATTTTCTTGTACATTTTCTATATAAATTATTAAGATCTTTTTCTATAGCTGGTATATTATATTACGTAGTGGAGAGAGAGGAGAGAAAACAGTAGAGGCTAAGCATACTGACACGTGTCGCGACGTGAGTCGCCGGTTTATCGATCAACGATGATACACTCTCCCGGATCGTTTGCGTCACGGATTCCACAGGGCGGCGACGACGACAACGACGGCGGCGTTCGGTTAATCGTCGATCGAAAAAAGATTACTGATCTTTACGACATATAATATTATATTCTTCTTCGATATATATATATAAATATATAGTTTGGGCGATCCCGCATGGGATATATCGACAGAGATCGACGTTGACGTTACAATATGTAAAGATCAGTGAGGAACATCGGATTGAGGATTGTGATTTGAGAATTATTACGTATTACTCGACATAATCGATGACTCAGCCGCTATCAAGAAGTCCACCTATTACGTCTCACCTGATCCATTTCGAACTCCCGATATCAATGCCAGCACGCAAGAAGATTACCGCGATAATTATTCTTCCAGAGCTACGTCTTTCTCGCAACGATACGATAAGAGAATTCGCAAAGATCAAACGGTACAAGCGCACACACACACAAACACACACACACACACACACACACACACACACACACACACACACACACACACACACACACACTATACACACACAC